CCCCCCCACTAAATGGAGTGACGACCTGTTAAGATATGCAGGAAGTCGATGGATGCAGGTGGCTCAGAACCGTGTTTTGTGGCATTCCTTGGGGAAGGCCTTTGTTCAGCAGTTGACTTGTGAAGGGCTGTAATGATAATGATGATGATGTGTTTGATGCGGTTAAGTAGAAGGAGCTGGCACTGGGGAGCCCCGGCCTAGAAATTTATCCACAGAAATTCTGCTCCACGCCTCCGTTGTAATGCCACTATGGAGGACGGAATTAAAGAGCTTCTGTAGGACTTCAAGTACCGGTTTTTCACTAGCTTTCAGAAGCTCCGCTGTAATTTCATCCTCGTCTGAGGCCTTGCCGCTTTTAAGGTGCTGGAGAGCCATTCTAATCTCGCTCAGACTGACTTCCGGGATATCATCGTAATAATGTGGGATAAGACTCGCTCTTAGATCGTTACTCACACTTGCGTGTGGCTCCAACGATGATGTGTACAGCTGCCCATAGAACCTCTCAATCACACTCAAAATCTCAGGTTTCCCGGAAATGACTCTACCACCCTCGGTCTTTAGCTTCGACAATTGGCAATTTCTGGCAGACAGATCTCTAGCAAAGACTTTGGAGCCCTGGTTCCGCTCGAACGCTTCTTCAATACGAGCAGTATTAAAGTTGCATAATTCCCGTCGCATGCATTTGCAGATCTGTATGTTCAGTTGCCTGTATGCTGTCAAATTTACTGAAGACTGCAGCTTCATAAGCCGTCTAACAGCCATGAGATTAAGAGTGTGATCGGAGAGTTTTTGTGTTCTTCTGCGACGGGTCTTGCAAAACTTACCTCCGACCGCATGGACAGTTTCCACGAGCTTGTCATTCATATCGTTTACTGCATTGCAAACTTCTAGGCACTGAATACGGGTTTGTAGCTCGAGATGAAAGGTTTCGGGACTTTGGATTAGAGCACGAGAGGGACGGAGCGTTGACTTTATTAGACGTGATCTCCAACTTAACGTTTTGGTTCAGTGTGCTTCTCACCATTTGGTGATCGCTGCCGGTTTTCACCCTCGCGATCACTGAGACGTCACTGAACAGTTGTTGTCTGGTCTTAATAATTGTCATAATGAAGTCAATCTTATTTTTTCTGGAACCGTCGGGGCTCGACCAGGTCCACTTTATTTGGGGCCGCTTCTGTAAGAACGAGTCCATCATAAAGAGTCCCTCTTTCTCCATGAAGTCGGCCAGCTGCTGGCCCCTTGGGTTCCGTTGCCCTATTCCGAATTTCCCTACTTTCAGCTCACCGTTCTCTCTTGTGCCTAATTTTTATGTTAAAGTGTCCCTTTAACACCGTATAGTGGGTTTTGGAAGAGTGCATGGCTCTAGAGATATCGTCATACATTTCCTCCACCCTCTCATCGGGGTGTGCCGAGGTTGGTGCGTAAACCTGTATAACCTTCAGCAAATGCCGTTTGGTAATTCTGAGTATAAGGTACACAACCCTCGTCGACACACTCCCAATCTTCACAACGTTGTTAACGAGAGACTTGTGGACGGTAAATCCGACACCTCCTTGGGACATATGGTCGCCCTCCCGGTGATAGAACAATTTGCGGGATTCGCGGATTACCGTGCCCTTACCCTCTCTTCGGACCTCGGATAATCCTATGATATTCCAGCGCAACTTGTCTATCTCTTCTTCCAGCTCCAGGATCTTTTCGTCAGTCCTCAGGGTGCGTGCGTTTTAAGTTGCCAGGTCGAGTCGTCGTAGGTGGCAACCGAACCTCCACCGGAGATTCTTAGCACCCCCTGCCTCGCTGTTACCATGGTCGCCACCGTTGCCCAGGGCCGCCGGGGACTGGGGGCCGTCTCTTCGTTACTATCATGGGGGATATATTGCCATTGTTGCCACGCTTGGCGAGCGGGTTGGCAACCATTTATTGCTATTATTAGAAAGATGCTTCTGACCATCCTCTGCCTCAGTTTACCTCTGTCGCCTCTTACGACACCCACGGAAAGACATGGGGTAGTGAGTATTCTTTCCCCCCACTACACGGGAGACACATCAAGTTCATAGCGGCTTGAATTGTCGACGGTATCGTGTTTTCTCTGATCAGCTCAACTCACTGGCGCTGGGAAGAGATGTTGCAACCCTTTGCATTTTCTACGGGGAGTGCTCAGAGGAATTGTTCAGATTAATTTCAGCCTCCAGATGCACGTCCCACTTGCTTTACGTGTCCGTGTGCGATTTTGGGCTAGTTCGATACACAGAGTAGTGCAATATTATGCTTGTGGGATAAATTTGGAAGTAGATTAGAATGCAATAACAGCGGCACGGAGAGAATCGCACTACCAAATATTTTTTTTCACACATACTAACTCTGAAATTCAAACTAGGGACGGTTGCATACTTCATAAGTTTATTAATTGCCATGTTATGTAAATTAAAGATTTTCTATAATCTTTAACCGACGAAAAAACGGAGGTTCTCAAGTCGACGTGTATATTTTTTTTATGTATGACCACGCATAACTTTTTACAAAGTAGACCGATTTTGATAATTATTTTTTTATTAGATAGGGTATACCCCGTAATTGGTCCCATATAAATTTGAAAAGAAAAATGTCTTCCCTAAGGGTGGTAAAATAGGGTTGATTTATTGTTTACTCACATATTCTAATGCTGAGTTGTGTATTACTACATTACATAATAATTACATTACATTACATCACAAAAAACCTCACGATGAATGAGCTTTAGACCTGTCAGTCACTTGTGTGTAGACCTCTCAGTCTCTGCATTTCTGCTAAAGCTCGTTCATCGTGAGGTTTGTGTAATACCTAATTTGGATCTAGATGAGAAGCAATACCCTATCTAAAACTAATGTAAGTATACCTAAGTAATTTTGAGTTGGCGCCAAACAATCAATGAACAAAACCACTAAAGCACCTTAAATTTAAAGAAATAACCAAAATTAAATTAACAATGCCGCGCATCACGCTTTACATAATTAATTAATTTGCTTGTTTAGCGCCGACTCAAAATTACTTAGGTATACTTACATTAGTTTTAGAACTTAGTTATTTCTGTTAACTAAAAACTCAAAATATTTACAAAAATATATACTTAGGTATACTTAAATTAGTTTAAGAACTTAGTTATTAAGGTTAAATAAAAAAGGTTTATTAATTTTTGCTTTTCAGTTTTTTCCGGCGGTTTAATTTTTTTGTTAAATTTTTTTTATATATTTAATATTTTAATTCTTGGAATAAGTGTTTTTTTTTTCCTATATAAATTACCGATAAATAACGCCATTGTAAAAATATTTATAATGGAATAAGCACTTAACCACCAGTGAAGTAATAAAAAAGAAGAAGAAATTCTCATACAATTTTTTTACGTGGTATAGCCACGCTGCAGCTATATTTGTAGTATAATTGTAGCACGAATGGGTCGGCTCGACCGGGGAAGGACCACGCTCTCACAGAATACCAGCGTCAAATAGCAGTTTAACACTGCTGTGTTTCGTATGGTGAGTGTAGAGAACCGGAGACCCTTTTTACTGGAAAAGAGGCATTCCATCTTAGTACTCACGAGTGACTACGCATCTGCGTTTTGATTCGCAAACGAAGTTAAATGTAGATGTCTATGGGCCACAGCAACTACTTACCATTAAGTGGACTGTGTGCTCGTTTGTCATTCGATCCTATAAAAATAAAATCATTTTCTTTGAGCCTTAGTAGAACTAAAGGTCACTTGATGGTATAATTATACCCATTAGTTATTTTATTTTAAGACCATGTTTATAACCACCAAATAAAAAATAACTTTTCCTTTAAATTTTTATTCCAATATATTCTGTATTTGAAAAAGTATTTGGTGATAGAATTGCAAACAAAAATTGAAACACTGTTCTACATTTTTTTGGGGTGTGTGTCTCTAAAAACTGAATGGCATAAGCAATCAGTTCGCAACTAAAACTACACTAGTTGCGAATAAACTTAGCCATCTAATTTCTTACCTGCTTCGTTGGTATCACGAGGTATTGGGTTCGTAACCAGGTCGGGTTTATCGGATTGCCGTCTCAACGGACAGAGGTATTTAAATATTATTCTGGATTAAGGTGTTTATGTACGTGAAAGGAAAATCTATTTAAATAGGTAATCAAAGTCTCCTTCAGTAAATTCGATTGACATAGATTTAATACGTTACATAGCCTTGACACGATGTACCCTGTTGACTCACGAAAGTACGAAAACTATATGATGGTGGAAAATGGGCTTGTAAAATACTTTTAAATATTGGTTTTGCAAAATTTAATAATCTAATGTTGGCAAGAAAAATTAGGAGAGCAAGGATTCCACTTTATGTACTCACAAACCCTCTCGTTTAGCATATTTGTAATTTTTATTTATTTATTTATCCTTAATTGAAACAACTTCTACTAAGGGTTACATAGATGAACTCCACTGGACAGGACATTAATCAGGTGCTTTTAAGAACGCATCAGCGTTGGTGAAAGAACTAATATTATGCCCAGTGAAAAGGCTGACAGTGATGATGTACATTCGTTCGTATTAATAAAATCATATGTAGCAATACATTTTGAGTCGCTATAAAAATCCCATTTTGGTTACTATAATATTTTATTAATGCCTTTGGTATTAATATATTTAAAAAAAAACTTTACTTAAAAATACTTTGTCATATTTTTATCAAAACTATTTATTTAAAAAAATATTTGTTACAGGTGGCGCATCAATATTCGAAACCAACATTTTACTACCAACCTTTCAAGGATATTTATGAATGAAAAAACTTGAAGAAGGATAATAAAGAAAATTACATACCTATTACGTCACATAATGGTCAGAAAAGAAACTGAATATAAAATGTATTTAGGAAAACGTTACATTATATCAAATTATTATCACCTTTTTCATTCAATTTCAAGAACTGATGTTTTATCAAATTTTCATGATAATAATGCTACTTAAAATGCTTATAAAAATTAATCAAAATGGGTCAAGCATCATCTCATCTACGTATTAACTCAACTTTGCTAAATAATACGGAATTTCTTAACATTACTGAACTTGACAAAGATGATTGTGCTGTGGCCGATGAACCTAAATATCCAAGTAGCTTTGGATTAACTCTCTCTGTACCAGAATGGGAAGCAATTTGTACAGCTATAATTCTTACACTGATTATTATTTCAACAATAGTAGGAAATATTTTAGTTATTCTTAGTGTGTTTACTTATAAGCCTTTAAGAATTGTTCAGAACTTTTTTATAGTTTCATTGGCTGTTGCAGATATAACAGTTGCTATTTTAGTTATGCCACTAAATGTAGCATACTCAATATTAGGACAGTGGGTGTTTGGTATTTATGTATGTAAAATGTGGCTTACTTGCGATATTATGTGTTGTACATCGTCTATTTTGAATTTATGTGCAATAGCTCTCGACAGATATTGGGCAATTACAGATCCGATAAATTATGCCCAGAAAAGAACATTAGAAAGAGTTCTGTTCATGATAGGTGTAGTATGGATTTTGTCTCTTATTATTAGTTCTCCCCCACTGTTGGGCTGGAATGACTGGCCTGAAGTATTTGAACCGGACACACCGTGCCGATTGACTTCACAACCAGGTTTTGTAATTTTTTCTTCATCTGGTTCTTTTTATATACCCTTGGTTATAATGACTGTAGTATATTTCGAAATTTATTTAGCAACTAAGAAAAGGCTAAGAGATCGTGCCAAAGCGACTAAAATTAGTACAATTTCAAGTGGAAGAAATAGATTAGCTTCAAAGAATAGTGATCAAAATGATCAGGATTCTGTTAGTTCTGATGGAAACCAAAGCGAACATCAAGCAGTAACTCGTCTTGTATGTGATAGTGAAAATAAACGCCTAAAAAAACTAACTCCAAAAAAGAGGCGTAAACAAAAATATTGGAGTAAAGGCGATAGATTTCAAAACAAACTGATTATTCCTATCCTTTCAAATGACAACTCTATTACAGAAGTGGGAGACAATATGGAAAATAGAAATACATCATCAGAAAGTAATTCCAAAGAGACTCAAGATGATGAAATTTTAGAAATAAAAGAGCAGTCGTTTAAAAAAAATCAAAAACGACCAAGACCTACCCAACAAAATACTGTTTACCAGTTCATCGAAGAAAAACAACGCATTTCACTAACAAGAGAACGTCGTGCAGCTAGAACTCTTGGCATAATTATGGGCGTATTTGTCGTGTGCTGGCTTCCATTTTCCGTTTTGTACCTTGTCATTCCATTTTGTAATAACTGTTGCTTATCCGGAAAGTTTATTAACTTTATAACTTGGCTTGGTTATATTAATTCTGCTTTAAATCCTTTAATATATACTATTTTCAACATGGATTTCAGAAGAGCTTTTAAAAAGCTACTTTGTATGAAACCTTAGATTATTGTTGAATATTTTAAATTATTATAAATATTTCAAAAAGAAAACTTGATTTGCTCAATGTTTTAATTTTAAACGTGGTTGTAGTTTTTCGTAATTCACTTTAACCTTAAATTTGAGAAAACCTAGTAGTTACATAAAATTTTATATGTTATAAGTTTAATCGAATATAGTATAATAATGCATTGTACAGCGAAATCTTTAATACTTTTAATAATATTACATTAATCCTAAAACTACAAGCAATAGCGGTAGTAATATAAATGTTATGATAAATATATATTTATGCAATAATAGGTGCATAGCACTCTTACATTTAAGACTCAACAATCATTATCGTTAACATGTAGCGAATTAATAATTAAGTAACAGAAATGTTTCCGTCAACGAGTTTTCCTATATTATAAAATGTACATATCTTGAACTCTGAAATAATGCATAATATGTAGTATCAATAATAAATATAAAAGTAACACTAACTTTACATTGTTGTTAAAGAGGTAAGAGTATCGGTTGTGGTACGTGTGTTTTCTTAAACTGTATTTTAGTCTGAAATCTTGTATATTGTTTTCGCTACAGAACAGAATTATATTATATCCCTTTAAAATAATTTGAGCCCTTATTTAAAAGGGATATTAAATGGTCTAGATTTACTGATTGTGGAAATAAAATAATTTAACGCAACTATGTGGTTTTCATTTGAAATATTTTTTTTACTATGAGACTAAGCATGATATGAAAATAATTGAAATAGTAGGAGCGGGCGCATAGCCAATAAAATAGAAATAGAAATATGTCGGAGAATTCAACAATATGATCCCACTTGTGGTCTCGGAAATATATCAGGATAGCGTTAACTGTTAAAAATAGTGTGAGAGCGGATGTTCAACTTGCTCTCTCGCTTACGCAGTTAATCATTATCAGTAGTAAGACAGCGTAAACGCACTATACATAAAGTATAGAGCAATTACAGTTCGACCACCGTGTAACACGTCTCCGCCACAATCACACACCAGTGTAACTTGAGGTACGTAATTACATGATAACACCAAAATATGTAAACCAACAGCAAAACTACTTATCTCAATGTAACACAGGGCAGCCACTCAGCCACAGCAATCCTCCTTGCTAGCACTAGAAGAATTACAACAACGAACAGAACCACGACACTATCTTAGCACTAGAAGAATGAGCACACTCGTTGAATGACTTGGGCGGAATCTCTCGCGCACGGCACCTACAGTGAACTTTATACTACAGACACAAGAGAGGGTTTCTCGATATACCCTCCATTCTACCTCGATCCAACCGGGTATTTTGTAGACACTCCGACAAATATATTTATTTAACCAAAAAGTCATTACATAATTAAACAGTGCACTGGTTACTGCACTAAGCTTATATTCCAGGAACCAATGTAGGAAAAACAAGTTTTCCGTTTCCTGATGAGAAACATGGAGCAACCTGTTTATTTTGTGCTTAACTTTGCTTGCAGTCAATAGGATTGGATCTTTTGAGATGTGATTTGAACGTAACTACGTCTTCAACCTGTTAGAGGCCAGCTGCAGCAATATTTTAGTTCAACCGAGTTAAGACCTTAGTTAAGACCTCTCACTGAATACCAGCGTAAAAAAGAAGCTGTGTTTCATTTGGTGAGTGTAGACAACCGGAGACCGTTTTACAGAAAACTAAGCAGTCCATCTTAGTTCTAAGGAGTGAAATGATATTTTCATTTTCATTCTTAATTAAAGACAGATGTAGTTGTCTATGAGCCACAGCATCTACTTACCACCAGTACAGTGCGCTCGTTTGTCACCTTTATTCCATAAAAGAAAACTAAAGACTTCTTTTCTGTCTAGAAGTTCGTCTGGGCAGGTACTATGCTCTTAACTATTTCTGCATTTTGATTCTTATTTTGAATAAATATAGATGTCAATGGGCCACAGCATCTACTTATCATCAAGTGGACTGTGTACTCGTTTGTCATCCTTATTCTATAAAAAAATAGTTAATAGCGAAATTAGTTTCTAGTGATCTATATTATTGTATCTATTAGTATCACACGGTCATAAGGCTCTTTTCACTATTGTGAAGGTTCGATTCCTTATTCTGAAAACAAACTTTTCGAAATTCTGTGAATGTATAGTTTTACTTATTGCTCAGAATAGAACAAGGGAGATAAAATAAAGCTCCTAAGGACTATAGACGAGTATATTTCTTGATGCAATAATTACGGTAGGTACAATTAGGTTGCGTGCCCGTTAAGATATATAATTTTCTTGAACTTATAACGATCGTACGGTACTTATATTTGAATTGCACCGGAAGTACAGACTAAACAATTATTATAAACCAATATGGTATCTATACGTTTTACAACTATAGATAATAAATATATAGTATTATTTACAATAAAAAATATCATTTATTTCGGAACATTTATGTCATAGATAAACATCGAAATTAAAATATTAAATCTTAATTATAATGTCAATTTTATACATTAAAAAAATATTTCATTTAAATTAAATTATTACAATTACTTAAATTCACATAGAATATACAACACAAAAGATACACAGCTTTAACGTAATCTAAACTTATGTTTAGATCCGGAGGGCTCAACATGCAGCCTGGTCATGTGTCGCATTATAGGGCAATCCAGATACACCCACCAGGCGAATATTTGCAAGTAGCTGTTGGAACCGCCCCGCATGTGACGCATCAGGAACGTGACTCGCTTTCGAATGATCGCCGCGAATCCATTTCTATATACGCATCCGCAAACATCCTCGATGCGCTACACTAACATAGCAGCTTCATCAGTTCCCTGAAGGCGTTGTTGTATAGAATGCGTAAAGCGTCGTAAGATTTTTTCGTGTACTTGACCCATAAGCTCCACGTGTAGAATGATTGGCAGAATGCTCTAAACAACGTAGCATTTACTTCTGCAGTACAGCGCGCGAACCTATGTGCCAACATATTGGCCCGAAAAGACAACGCCCTACGCTGCTTATCCATATCAAAAGCGCCTGAAAGCGTTTCGGTTACCTAGTGACCCAGATATTTGAACTGCGAGACTCTTTTAAAGACACGGCCATTTAGCGTAACCGGTGGGACAGTATAAGTTTTTGATCCCGTCTTAAACATCATGAGCTCGCTTTAGATGGCGTTGTATCTGAGCCTACGGGCGCCCGCATAACGCCCGCATATCGAAATGAGTTTTCGAAGGGCACTGATCGATGGACTCAGCAGCACCGTGTCGTCTGCATAACTGATGTTGTTGAAAAGAACGCCATCAATCGAAAACCCAACACCAGCGCCGGTAAGCTCACGGATCAGTTGGTCTATGTACAGGTTGAAGAGGGTCGGCGATGTTTGGCCGCCTTGCTTTAAAAAACACTCCAATCTGTACTCATGCGATAGTGGCCCCGAACACCGCACAATATTGCTCTGATTTCAGGAGGCTTATATACTCATAGGGAAGGTCCGTATCATTCGACAACTTATGGCACAACCTGTCATGTGCAACTAAGTTAAATGCTTCGTCAGTATAGTACTGGACGATATGATTGAGATTCAATGTAGCCATTTCGGTTCATAAACCCGGGTGAAATCTAAACTGCACGTCATGGAACTGACTTTGTTTTAATTTTATATCAATGAGAAGATATTCAGTTTTTGTGTCTCTTTAAAAATAAAGACGCATTGAATTCTGAAATTTATATACGAGTATACTTTAATAGTGCAGGGCAGGATTATGGTTCACGAGTTTGTGAGCAAGCACATATGCACTTTTTATTCCCTCACATAGTCCGATGGGACGGTAAACCGACACGAATATAGATATATATCAAAATATATATAGATCTCACTCAGAACCAACGACTTTGTACGTTCTTTCTGAAGCACAGTGGTAAAATACTTCGGGCTGCTACTGAAAATTTCTTGATAAAGAAGCTATCAAAGGATAAAGAACTGTCCTTGATTGAGTTGAGTTTTATTTTTTTATTTGTTTGCAGGCAGAGGCATAATAAAATGAAGAAAAAACTAACGTATTTACTTGTAATTAAGTAAGTACCTATTTTTAGGTAGGGATTGGAAATAGGCATAGTTTACATTTAAAATAATTTTTTTTAATGTTAAAAGTAATAAGGTGCCTTACTGTAGTACCAATATTCGGTGATTGATCTTGCTTATTTAGGGCAATCTCTTATCTGTTGAATGGGAACCAATTTTTGACTTGATAAATTCGGAAGCAAATGCGTTGTGAATTACGAATTACGTGTAATTTTGTTGTTTTTTACAATATCAAACACAAGCGTATAGTTTACCCAATAATATTATAAGAACATTCGTACCGCCTTACTGAATCAATGAGCTGTTCATTTTCCATTTTGGCAATAAAACGCGTGCACGGTGCAAGTGGCTATTTATTTATAACGTGCTATGCGTAAGATCTAGGAATCACACTGGTCGCATGCGGGGGATTTATTTTATTTATAAATTTATTTATTCTTTATTGCACCAAATATTTGTACAAAAGGCGAGCTTAATGATATATGGCATTCTCTACCAGCTAACCTTGGGTAGAACAGAGTTAGGGCACTTGGGCAGTTAAGTTGTCATGATATAATACAGTTCAAAAATATATATGCAACACATACATAAAATTAACACATATATAATATATATATATATATATATATATATATATATATATATATATATATATATATAATTCATATATATTTATAAATAAATGTGAGATTGCGTACGAACATCCCCTCCACCTTCCCACGCCGTTCGACGTTGGATCGGACGCGTGTGATTGCGTTGCGTACGATAAGTATGTTTCTAATGTATAGTTTTTCATACAAAATTAAGAGTCCAGATGTCATAATGCTTTACATACGTTGCGTACGTGGGATGAGTCTGTCGATCAACACAATGTTCGAACGTATTCGACGGAGCTCCTAACCGAATAGCAGTTAAAACTC